CCCCCGGGCATGATCTGGAAGTCGCGGCCAACCTCCTCGGGCACCTCTGACACTCTCCTCCACTTCCTGGCGGACAAAGCCCTTTCGGAGGCGAGCCCGGGGCTGCCCTCCCGGGGAGGAGGCGGCGTCGCGGGAGCCCCTCGCCCGCTCTCCCGCGTCCCGCTTGGACGCGCCCAGAGCCGCCGGAGTGATGGGTGCCGCCTCAGGCCCACGAGCCGCACGGGGCTGCAGGGCGCGCGGCCGCGGCGGGCACCAGCACTTCTGAGAGTGGCCTGTCCTCCGGTGGATCCCCGTATTTATATCTGATTTATTTTTTATTTTGTAGCACAAACAGAAATCCATAAACTGTCGGTTCAGCGCCATTGACTCTTTGATCAGTTACTGGGCTATTTCTTTCCTTTTTTTTTTTCCCCTCCATCCCCGTCAGTGAGAGGAGATTAAATGCCTTTATTTCCAGCCCTGTTTATACTGCAAAGGCACAAGGCTAAATGAACAATAAAAGTGTACTTACAATGAAGCCTCCTCCTTCTGCATGCAACAACAGAGAAACTTCGCACTGCCTGCCTAAACCTCTTAATTAGACTACAGCGATTTCCGAACACATTTACCCATTATATACAAAGGAAATAAAAGCGCCCTGTCCACCAGCAGCCCGAGTTCCTGAGGCTTCTCTGAATCGAGTGAAATAATTACCAAAGGGCACACCACCTCCGTCTTTGTCAGAAAGTCCTTAGTTTACCTGTCAGATCTGTTTTACTCCACAAGAAAACAACATTGTCTTACCGCTGCAGACATTAAACCCTAACACACCTTTGCCAATCTAGGTGAGGACAAACTTTTTAAAGGGGAAATAAAATCTGCAAACTAACATCATGCAGAGAGTGGGGGGCGTGTGTGCTGGGCGGCAGGAAGCCTCGATGAGCTCTTTTTTTTTTTTTTTTTTTTACTTGGCTCACAATTCTTAAAGTTAGCATCAAAAACTGAGACTCTCATTTCTAAGTGTGAAGTCCAGCTTGGAGGTATGTTTTAAAACAACCTGAGCCGAGGGAATTTAATTTTACAAATTTGACCTGCTCCCCCCGCCCGCCGCCGCCGCCCAACGTTCTTATTTTAAGGACATGAAGAAGATTCGTATTTATAACAACAACAGCAACACGTCACCCAGCAGCAAACCAGCAGACCAGACGCTGCAGCACGGCGTCAAAAAGCCACGAAGCCCTTTTCTCCACTGAATCACATTACGGATAGCCAATAGTTACCATCGGAAAAGTTGACCGAGACAGGTTAAATAATTTAATAAGGAACTGCGTGTAATTATGTTATTTACAAGGTATGACAGAGGGTGGGAGAGGGAGCAGAGCAGCGGACGGGTTGGAGTGACCCCTGGAGCTTGGAGTTTGAATTATGGAGCCAGGGGGGCCTGCGAGGTGAAGATGGACTACCGGAGAACAAGGTGACTTTTCACCCCAACACATTTAACTTTTAAATCCAAATAAACGTCTCGTGTTACTAGACCATCACACTGGAACGGAGGAAAATGAACTAATCAAGCCCAACTGGATGGCTCTTGGAAAGGAGTTAGCTCCCTTTGTGATGGGGAGGGGAGATCAATGACATGATTCCTAACAGAGAAAGAAGCGTTTCAAAATAAACGGGTGGGGAGGGGAAGATCTTGGAATTTTTCTGTCAAATATTAATTACCATAATTAATTAAGACAGAATATGATTCCAATCAGAAGGCATTTAATAAAGCGTACATGTCCTGTCCTAACGACAACATCAACTCTTTTACCAATCGCTTCATTTCTTCCAATAAATATGGAATTCTCATTAGCGTGTCAAAGGAAGCTAAATGGAAAACAAATACACGCACTCCATTTGTCAGCCCCCTTGCCTGGGAACCCAGGACAGCCCCCCAGCTCGGCAGCCAGAACTAGTGCAGAGGTGTAAACTTTCTCACCTGTTTGGTCATTGAATCTATGAGGCGAACATACAGATCCTGCTCTGTTCTGACTCCTGCAAAGAAACAGAAACAAACTCTCATCAGGGTTTCGGCGCTGCAGCTCGCCAGGCGCGCACCGGGCACAGGAAGTCCATACCTCAGGACGGCTGCCACAGTGATACAGCAAAACTTAGGCAATCCCTTAAGAGGCAGAAAGAGAGCCCCCATCCTTGCTCGCTTTGCCGTTTTTTGTGTTTTTTTTTTTCCCTTTCCTAATTAAGAACCCTGAAGGCTCGCAGGGTTTGCACTTACAGGTGCAAGAAATCTGCCCGGCGGCGGGCAGGCCCGGTGGCAGTGCCTGGTGGGCCCAGGTGGTCATTTATTTTTAGAAAAGAGGAAGCACCGAATGGAAACCGAGCGAGAAACCGAACTCTTTCTAATGTCTCTCGAGGATCTTG